ACTAGTGCATTGTGCGGGTGTGATACCAAATGTCCACAGTGGTGGCCAGCTCCCCCAGCGGGAACTGCAAAGCAGCAAATCTGTCTTTCTGTGGAGGGCTGTTTCCTCTGTGCCCTTCTGCTTCCTCCGTCTCTTCCTGCAGGACTGGCTTTCTCTGTATATGTGGCTACCCTGCAGCTTTCAAATGTATTGCACCCAGTTCAACTAGTCAGTCCAAAATGATCACCCAAAGGTGATTGTCACCCAAGGCCACAGGACCTGCTTTGGGAAGCGGTGCCCAAGCATGAATCTTTCCCATGAAGATTCACTGCTGTATCCTGGAGCCTAGAGCAGTGCCTGGCATCTAACAGGCGCTCAGTAAGCATTTGTGGAAATGGATGGGTCCAGCTGGTTCAGCTGCACTCCCCAGGGAGTGGTCTACACTGCAGTCACAGTCAGGCTCCAGTCTTGTGCCTTAATCACCTGCCTGTGGCTCCCCTTCACCAGAACTGCAACCAGTCAGAGGAAAGGAAAAATCAAAATTGAGGTTAGGTGGAGTACCAACTGTGGGCCCAGGACTGTGGACGATGGAAAGGCAGTTCTGTCCTCAAGGATTTCAGTTAAATTCAAGATCAAAGCTGGCCGGGCTCAGTGGCGCATGCCTGTAATCCCAGCACTTCGGGAGGCCAAGGCGGGTGGATCACTTGAGGTCAGGAGTTTGAGACCAGCCTGACCAACATGGTGAGACGCCGTCTCTACTAAGAAACAAAATAGACGCGGGTGTGGTACACATGCTGTAATTCCAGCTACTTGGAGGCTGAGGCAGGAGAATCACTTGAACCCAGGAGGCGGGTTGCAGTGAGCCAAGATTGCACCATTGCACTTCCCAGCCTGGGCAACAAGAGTGAAACACCATCTCAAAAAAAAAAAAAAAAAAAGATCAAGCTAAAAGGAAGGAAATTGATTGGGGGACATCATCTCTCAGTACAGTTGGGCTTCCCAAGGACCAAGGACCAGAAAGTCACCAGGAGGCAGCAGTCTCTGAGGCTCATTTTTCATGGCTGTGTATTTGAACAGTTAGCTCCATTCTCTCTCTGCAGAGTGACTTCTCCTGCTTCACTTGTCTGTGACCCACCCTGACGGCCCCCAGACAGTCATCTAACCTCTGAGACCACGTCACTCAGAACTGACCTCTCAATCCCAAGCTGGGCTCCTGGGAAAGACTTGCCTAGCCAAACTCAGTTTCTGATTGGTTCTCCCTGGGTGGATCCATACCTCAGATCCAATCAGCTGTGACCTGAGAGTATAGAGGTCACATGATCCCAGCAAGGTGCTGAGATCTGTCCTCTTGAGTAGGGTGGGAGTGCTGAGTGGGACTTTAAAAAACTGGAATTCATTCAGATTTCTTCTTGCTGCTGTTTCATAGCCCTGGGGCCATGTGGCTTGCATTTCCCCCATCTTTGTGCTCTTATATTTAATTTAGGGACAAAAAAATGATTGGGAGGAAAGAAAAGAACTAGAGTCTTCTGGTTCTTAGCTTCTCCCTTTTTTCCTCTCCTTCCTTCCCTTCTCTTGACCTTCCTTTTCCCTTCCCTTTCCCTTCCCTTTCCTTTCCCTCCCTCCCTCCCTTCCTTCCTCTCTCCCTCCCTCCTTCCCTCCCTGCCTTCCTTCCCTCCCTTCCTTCCTTCCCCCTTCTATTTATCTTCCTATCCTTCTTCCTTTTTCTTCCTTTCTTCTTTTCTTTTCTAGTCCAAGGAGAGAGAGTCTTGAGGATGATAATGGTAGAATCAATAAACAAACAGGACAAATGTGCTTTGGGGAATTTTGAGTGAAGGTGCCCTCCTGTTTTGACAGGTGGTTTTAACTCAATACTGCACAGAACTTCCTTGCCTCGAGGCACTATTTAGGACTCCAAACCTGTGGTTAAGGTTTCCAGCTAACATTCTTCCTGCCTTCATTTTAGAAAGAGGTGAGTCTATGCTTTATATTGTGTATACCACATGTCCATTATAATCCTCTGAATAATATGAATAATTTTCTGCTTGATCATTTCCACACATACAAGCAGGAGTCCTAAATGCTATTTCCATTGCACTCCTCTCTGTGGGAAGAGTCATGAAGTGTTGAGGCCAAAGGGAGGCTGATCTCTAGTGAGTTGAAGATTGAGCTCTGTCTTGGTTTCCTATGAACTCTCTAATAAATTATTACAAACTTGGTGACCAATAACAACAGAGACTTGTTCTCTCACAGTTCTGGAGGGCAGAAGCCCAAAATCATATTAACTGGCCTGACATCAAGGTGTCAGCAGGGGGCTGCATCCTTCAGGGGCTCTAGGGGAGAATGCATCCCTTGCTTCTTCCTGATTCTGGTGTCTGCCGGCCTTCCTGGACTTGTAGATTCATCACTCCCATCTCTGCCTCTGGGGTCACATTGCCTCCCCTCTTCTGTGTATATACTCTCCCCCTCTTTTGCTTGTGAGGACATTTGTAGTTGGCATTAAGGGCCCACCTGGCAAACCCAGGACAATCCCATCATCTTTAATCCTTAATTTAATCACATTTGCAAAAACTTTACCTTACAAGGTAATATTTACCGGTTCCAGGGATTAGGGTCTGATACCTTTAGGAACCCCCAATCAGCCCACCCAAGCCTCACAACTCCTTCTCCCCCGTGGAGGGTCTAGACTTGGGAGACACCCCAAAAGGTGTCTACCAGAAGCCAGATTGAGAGCTCTTCCAGAAAGTCATTTCTCAACTCGTCTGGGTCCTTGCTCTTCTCTTCTATTTTCCTCCCATTTATCCTCTGGTTGGGAAGCAGCACAGAAAGTAACAGGAAAGCAAGCCCAGCCCAGAGACATGAGACGCAAAGAGCCACGGGTCGGCTCAGGACTGAGCCGGGGAATGGACCAGGCCTCTGGTTGTCCCATGCCACAAAGCCAATCCCAACATCTCGCCTTTTAATAATGCATTGCATAAGGAAAGTGAAAGTTTCGAACTTTAGTCACTGCTGCCAATCTTGACATAAGAAGGTGACTCGGTGCCTGTCATCCCTTCCCTGTCCACCGGAGCTTGTTAGGAAAACATCTGGGCCTGGGAATTACTCTTCCAACCAGGTTTGACACAGACTCCTCAGCAGGCTGGCTCCATGCCCACCAATAGCAGGAAGGCTTCCTTTGGACTTGGGTCTGTTTTCCCAGACACTCACTTCACGGTCAAGACCCTGACCCCAGAGGTCTCCATTCCCCTCCTATGTCCCATCTTCAACAGTGTGCGATCCCCTGGGCATTTCTTATTCATTGCACTGCTTTGCTGGGCTGCACAGACTCACTTTCCTCCTCCAGGGGGACATGCTCACCCACCCCCAACACTTACATAGCCTGTCAGTTCTGGGGGCAGAGGACAAGCTGCACTGAGCTCCCTCCTGGGCCAGTTCTCAGGAGAGGGAGAGAGGAAGGATGCCTAGACAGGTAGAAAGCTGCTGTCCAAACAACCAGAACTTTATTATGGGCACATGGGTTGACAGGGCCAACCTCTGAACTTGAGAAGTGCAAGTCTTCATTCGAAGTCTGGAAAAGCTCTTTACACTGAGCTGTATGGGGAGTGTGTAACTCAGGCCTTGGAGCCAGGCAACCTGGGCTCAAACCCCAGCTCTACCGCTTACTAGCAGTGTGACACAGGGTACTTACATTAACCTAAAGCCTCTGTGAACTGACCTGCAGAATGGCATTATTACAAGACTTGGGTCCAGACGACATGGGGTGATGTGTGAAATGCTTAGTATAACACTGGGCATAACTATTCAGTACATATTAGCTATTATTATTGCCATTTTTCCCTAAGAAAGTCAGTATTGGAATAGCTGCTAAAGTAACTCAGCACCCAAATGTACCACATATAAAATATTTTATTATAAAAAGCTCCATTGCATGGCATTTCAAAAAGAACAGAACATTTCCTACAGTTTTCTTTCTTTTTTTTTTTTTTTTTGCTGTTACACAGAAGAGACTAGTTAAGTGTACCAATTAAGACTATTATGCATCACATGCCTAAGTTCATCAGGCCTTAAGCCCTCAAAGAACGACAGCATCAGGGGCTCTGCAAGAGCAGCCACCTGAGCCTCACCGCTTAGTTCACAAAACAGCCCTGTGTCCTTTCTACAAAGCCAGGTCGTATCTCCTACCCACAGTTCAGGACTCCAGCGTAGACAGCAAACACAAAACTTGTTTCCTTTTTGAAACAAAACAGTCCTATTAGAAGCAAAACAAACAACCACAATCTACACCAGCCGCGAAGAACCCTTTCCTAGCTGGAAAGGAGAATGTGTCGCCTGTGATTCGGAGCGAAGAGGATGGGGAGATGTCTGCGCCACACGCTTGAATGTGGTCCACAGATTCACCAGCTCCAAGGCAGCATCTCCTTCCAAAGCACCTGCAGCAGGAGGCTGTGTGGGGCAACAAAGTCACTCCTGATACAGAGAATCCCCCCCACCATCCAAATGGCTCCGTGCACAGCTGGCCCCTCCGCTTCTCAACCGTGGCTCACGTGGCTTTGTTAGAGTCTTGGGGGCGAAAGGTGTGAGAGACAGGAGGGAGCATGGCTCAAGTGGGGCCATTCAGTCGGGCGGCCGGGTGTCGGGGGCCTTCTCCTGGACTTCATCATACTGCGGTGGAGGAGTCAAAGGCTCTATCGAGGGAGGAGGGATGTTTTTGTCCGGGAGGTTGATCCTAAAGTCTTTGAGGTGAAGCTTTTCAGATTTAATCCTTCGAACTTTCAGCGGTTTCAGTCGTTTGGCCAACTTAGAGTTCTGCCTGTCAGGGGGGTTCCCAGGGCTGGCCTCCACATCTGCCCTGGTGGATGTGGGGGTGGTCTCGTCAAGCCCCGTCAGTGACTCATAGGACGGGAGAGAGATGCTCAGCCTCGGGTTCCGCTCCTCTCCCCTTGCTTCTGAGTAGTTTGTGTTCATCACTTCCTCGTAGCTGGGGACATAGTACCTTGAGGCAGCCTCCTCCTCCTCCTCTTCCTCCTGGCTGCAGGAAGACACGCAGACAGGGAGAGTGTTAGCCTGCACACAAGTCATTCAAAATCCCAAAGAGATGGGCTCCAAAGAGTCCACACACAGCAGCCTTGTAAATAACAAATGGGTCTTAGAGGCAATAAAAGCGAACACTGCAAGTGTTTACTGTGAGCTAAAAGTGCTTTAACAAATATGAAGCAATTTCAGACTCCTAACAACACTATGAGTTAAGTACTATTCATGTAGGACAGGTGAGTCCCCAAATTGGGGCTTAGCTTGGGAGGGATCTTGGCTTTATCCAGGAAGGAATTCAAGGGTGAGCCAGTGATGTTAGATCACATCCTTTTTGGCTGTTTTTTTTTTTTTTTGAGACAGAGTCTTGCTCTGTCGCCCAGACTAGAGTGCAGTGGTACGATCTCAGTTCACTGCAAGCTCCGCCTCCCGGGTTCACGCCATTCTCCTGCCTCAGCCTCCCAAGTAGCTGGGACTACAGGCGCCCGCCACCACGCCTGGCTAATTTTTTGTATTTTTAGTAGAGATGGGGTTTCACCGTGTTAGCCAGAATGGTCTCTATCTCCTGACCTCGTGATCCACCTGCCTCGGCCTCCCAAAGTGCTGGGATTACAGGTGCGACCCACTGCACCTGGCAGACCACAATTCTTTATTGAAGGGCACTACTCCTTGTGGAGAAGGGCTAACTCATAGGCAGTACGCCCAGAGTCGGCCACATAGGGGCTCTTGGAAATTGTATGTATACCCACTTTTAGTCACATGCAAATTAAGGGGTGGGTTAATGCAAATTGAGGAGCAAGCTATTTAGAACTTCCTAGGAAAGGTCACTTCTGGGTCGTTACCATGGAAAGGGATGGTAACTGCCAGATCGTTGTCATGGCAATTGTAAACTGTCATGGCACTGGTGAGAGTGTCCCATGCTGATGAGCAATGAGAGCAGCCAGGGATCACCCTCATTGCCGTTTGCTGGCTTTGGCTAGTTTTTTTTTTAAACCTTATCTCATCTGGACCACATCCTGTTTTGGTCAGCAGGGTTATGACCAGAAAACAAGTCCTGCCTGTTTTCTATCTCACTATTACTTTACCCAATTTATAGACGGACTGAGATACATCAAGATTAAGTGACTTGGTCAGACCTTTAGGAAATGGGAGGGTAGGAAGTGAACACTATACTCTCAACTACTCCACCATGTTTTATCTGGGCGTTAAACCTCCTTTGCCTTATTTAAGCCTTTCCCACTTAGCGACATGCTGGGTGAGCTATTCCAATGCTCAGCTGGGTCCTTCGGCCAAAGGCAACACAAAAATGTACAAAGTTGCAACCATCTTTCAGTAAAATGGTTGTTCCCAGGTAGAGAAAGAATATCTGAAATATAACATTTATGTGTGTCTCAAATTATTCTGTCATTTTATCTTCCAAGTTTATCCCAAGACTCAAAAAGATCAGGTCCTCTCAGCCTTATTCTCATTTGACTGTTGAAAGAGAAAACCAAACAGTCAGGATATTTTCTACACATTTGTCAGAATTAACGCCACTAGCCACTTTCCAGGACCCTATACTTGAACCTGTGGCGTGATCATGGCCAACATCAGAAACCTCAAAGTCTGCCTTGGTTTTCCTCCCACCCTCCTTTGGGAATGAACTCAAATGTGCTCACAGCTAGGGTGGGGAATGATGAGTGATTGATATTCCTGCTTTGTTCTTTTCTATATTTCTCAAGTTTTCTAGAATAAGCACGTGTGATGGTTAATTTTAGGTGTCACCTTGACTGGCCATGGTTGCCCGGATTAAACATTGTGAGAGTGAGGGTGTTTCTGGAAGATATTAGCATTCAGCTCGGTGGGCTCTGTAAGGCAGATTCCCCTCCGCAGTGTGGTGGCACCATCCAACCCACGGAGGTCCTAGATAGACCAAAAGTCAGAGCAAGCAAGAATTTGACTCATTTCTCCCTACCTCGCTGCTTGAGCGGGGACATTTCATTTCATCTTCTCCTGCTCTCAGCCTAGGATTTATACCCTCACCTCCCCTCATTCTCAGTCAGGCCTTCAAACTCAGAATGAAGTATACCCTTGCTTTCCTGGGTCTGCAGCTTACAGATGGCACAGTGTGGTACTCTTTGGCTTCTGTAATCCCGGGAACCAATTCCTCATAATAAATCTCCATTTAAAAAATATATATATCCCCCTGGTTCTGTGTCTCTGGAGAACCCTGGCCAATACAGCATGTATTATCTTATCGGAAAATGAGTTTAATTTGGGAATTGTATTTATACCCACTTACACACACTTTCAATTACGTGCAAAAGTAAGAAGTGGGTTAATGCAAATTGAAGGGCAAGCTATTTAGAACATTCTAGGAAAGGGATGGTAACTTCCAGGTCATTCCCATGGAAAGGGGTGGTAACTGGTAACATTGGAGGGCAGAAATCACTTCAATATAATGAGATTTTCTTTTTTCTTCTGGCGTACACCCACAAACGGCATTGCTGAATCATTTGGTAGCTCTATTTTGAGTTTTTTGAAGAACCTCTAAACTTCTCCATAGTGGTTGCACTGATTTCCATTCCCATCATTAATGTACAAAGGTTTCCTTTAATCCATATTAAATTAAGAACAATTCCCTTCCCACTATAGAGATAAGAAATGCTTGTAGAAAATTCAAACAACACAGAAACATCTAATGAAGAAAAGAAAAACATCCCGAATCCTTCTACCTGGAGGCAAACCACTGTAACATTCTGGTGTATACCCTTCCTACCGCTCTCCAGTCCCACAGCCACAACATTTGATGGGACCAGAACCTGACCAAAGATGCTGTATTATATCCTCCTGTTCTCACTGTTGTGAATGTGGTCCCACATTACCAAATATAGATCAACAGTGGCTGCACAGAACTCCATTGAATAGGTACGTCATCATTTAACTCGGTAGGTGGTTTTTTAGGTTGTTTCTAAGTTTTTGTTATCCTAAACAATGATCTGATAAATATACTGGTACAAGCTCTTTTGCACTTGTGGGACTGTCTCCCAGGGATAAACTCTTATAAATAGAATCAATATGCACATCTTCAGTACTGCCCCTTATGATGAAACTCTTGAGAAAGTTTCTGTCAGTCAACATTTCATCAGCAATCCATCTTCCCTACAACTCTCCAACAGTAGGGGCTGTCTATCTTGATCAATATGGTAGGCAAAAAAAAAAAAAAAAAGAAAAGAAAGACATCTTTTTGCTTGCATTGCATGACTAATGAAGTTGAACATCTATTGGTTGAACATCTATGGAATATTCATAACCTTTGTCTGTTTCCTATTGGCATATTCATCTTACATATTCATTTGTGAGAGCTCTTTTTATAATAGGGATATCAACTATTGTCATATGTTCCCCAATGTATCACTTATCTTTTACATTTGTTGGTGGCATTTTTGCTCAAATGGAAAATTTCTTCCCAGCCATTTCAGATTAAAGCATACACACAGCATGCTGGGGTGAAGGGACAGGAAAATGTGCTGGCCACCCCAAGCCTTCTTCAGCGACCCTGGGCAGGTCAAAATGTTGGTTCACTTAAGAGTAATGGCCTCCAGCTCTATCCAAGTTGCTGCAAAATACTTTTTTTTTTTTTTTTTTTTTTTTTTTTTTTGAGACCGAGTCTCCACTCTGTCGCCTAGGTTGGAGTACATTGGCGCTATCTCAGCTCACGGCAACCTCCACTCCCCCGGGTTCAAGCGATTCTCATGCCTCAGCGTCCCAAGTAGCTAGGACTACAGGCATGTGCCTCCACACCCAGCTAATTGTTGTATTCTTAGTGGAGACGGGGTTTCACCATGTTGGCCAGGCTGGTCTCAAACTCCTGACCTCAAGTGATTCACCCGCCTTGGCCTCCCAAAGTTCTGGGATTACAGGAGTGAGCCACTGCACCTGGCCCAAAAGACAGTATTTTGTTCCTTTTTATGGCTGAATAGTATTTCATTCTGTAATAATATTGTAATAAAATTTTTAAAAAATCTTGGTTTACCTGTAATCCATTTGTGCCATGCTATTTGGGAAGCTCTGGTAGAAAAGTCTAAAGTTATTTGTAAAATGATAAACTGTTTTCACAGAGCCTTCATGGGGGAACATGGGACAATAAAGCCTTGTAGATGACAGTCTTTTCACTACGGAAAAGTGTGAGCATGTGCGTGCATGCGTGTGTGCCCATCCCAGATCCGGGAAGGGAAGGGGACAGTCAGGCCTCACCTGTCTTCCTCCTGGGCGTGAGGCCCAGCGCCTGTCGGGTGCTGGACATGGGCCAGGTCCTCGCCCTGCTGCTGCTTCCTCTTGTCCCTGATACTCAGGCAAATGGAAAGCAGCAGCAGCATCACCCCGGCCCCGACCAGCACGTAGGCCACGGAGAAGGTCTTGCTCTTGAGGATGCCGCCACCCACCTCGGTCTTGTTGCTGCCCTGAGCTGTTGGCTTCTCGGCCGCGCTGAAGCCGGGTACCAGGTTCCACATGGCCATGATCACCCCCAGGACCAGCATCCCCAGGCCAATGGCGGTCAGTGCATAGTGCGAGCCGTTGGCCTTGGACTGGGCCATTGTGTCAGTGGGAGGAGGGCGAGGCCCAGTTCCAAGAAAGAAAATAAATATATAAAAAGCAGTAGTAACAACAAAAACCCCTTAAATGGACTCCACAAAATCTCTCGCCCCACACTAGAAAAATATCAGCTGAACTCCCGCGGGATGGTTCCAAGCAATCGCGAGACCTCCCGTGTGGATGGCTGTGGCGGAAGGGCCTGGAAGGAAAGCAGAAAGAGCAGAGAGGACCATCAGTTCCGATTCCAGACGCTTTGTGAACGTGGCGGCTCTGCTCTTGAAGGAGTTAAGCAGCAGCACCGAGCACGCCGGCTCTGGCTGGGCTTCGCCTTTGATGCATTCCAGATGTCTTACGTGCTCAGGCTCCTCGTGCCAGGCTGCAAGAAGGGAGGCCGCCCCCGCTACTCCCTGAAAAGGAAAAGCCAGACCTTTCCCTGCAGGAGGCCAGAAAGGTTGGAGCTCAGGTCATTAAAACATTGTGTGGAATTTAATGAAGTGCAGTAAAATCTCAGCTCTTGCTGGAGGCTGCTAGGAGAGTGAGCGATGGGATGAATGGGCTACAATCGATGGTTATAACAGACTCACCTGGGGGACAGGGCCTCAGCTAATGGTATGACCAGGCCAAACAGCCTACTGTCATCTGTTCACCACCCTCAATGGCTCCCTATTTCCTGCAGGAGAAAATCCAGCTTCTTAGAATGATGCTGCTCATGGTGGCTTTAGCCTGGCTCCTGCCTCTCCTACTTCATTTGTCAGCCTGCCTTTTTTTGCACTACCGGCCCCCAACCACCCTCCAGAACTTCCGCATTTCTCTGGTCACCCGCAGCTCAGATGACCCTTTCATGTGCTCCCCAAAGCCTCCAGCAACCACTGTGGTGAGTCTCTTCCCATGACCACATCATCATCATCTCTAAGCCTGGCACACAGCAGGGACCCAAAAAATGTTTACAGAGTTCACTCCTGTAATCCCAGCACTTGGGGAGGCCAAGGCGGATGGATCACGAGGTCAAGAGATCAAGACCATCCTGACCAACATGGTAAAACCCCGTCTCTACTAAAAAAAAAAAAAAAAAAAAAAAAATTAGCTAGGTGCTGTGACACGTGCCAGTAATCCCAGCTGCTTGGGAGGCTAAGGCAGGAGAATTGCTTGAACCTGGGAGGTGGAGGTTGCAGTGAACCGAGATTGTGCCACTGCACTCCAACCTGGGCGACAGAGCAAGACTCCATCTCAAAAAAAAAAAAATGTTTGCAGAGTCAATGTTGGATGAAATGAATAGAGGCCACATGAAGCCACGGAGCAAGACAAGCTTCTCTGAAGCCACATCGAGTTCTCCCTTTGTTAAAGGTGACAGAGGCCTGCACATTCTTCCTTTTAGCTCCTGTGCCTAGCTGGACAAAATAAACCTTCTTTCCACGAAGCAGCTCAGAGACCCTGCGCTAAAGGGAGCAGCCAGCGGTCCTGAGATTCCACAGTATTCGTTGGTTGAGAGTAAGCCAGAGAAGCAGTCACTTAAGGCTTTAGGTTAGAACATTTTCCAGGACTAAGGAGGAGGAGCAAGCAATGCCCCCGTGCTTCCCCGTACGTTATTCCTGTGACAGGAACCTTTGCAAAACAGTAAAATTTACAAGATGTTCAGCTGGGCAAGGTCTTGTTTTCAATTCTGCATTCTTTCCAGTCTCTCCGAAAGGATGGCTGACCAGGCTGCTTGAAATCTGATGCTGCAAAGATATTTTCTTGTGAAACCATGAGTTTATCTGAAATTGTCCACTTTGTTAAAAGATACTCTAAAAATATTTGAAACAACATCCTTTATCAGCTTGAAGTCTGTTCCTTCTTTTTTTCACTCAACAAATATTTCTTGTGCCTCTAGCTACCTGCTAAGCAGCATGTCAGGCACTGGAGAAACAGCAGTGAGCAAATTAAGGATTAGTAGAGCTTCTAGGCCAGCAGGAAAATGATCTATAGGGAATACCAATAAAGTGGGAAGGAAGTACAGGAACTGTGGGATTAGACAGCAGTGCGTCCTAGCTCTGGGCGGTGCAACATACAGAAAGCCTATATTGGGAGAGGAGTCCCACTGGCATAATTGGGCCTGAATCCTGAATGCAGAGCACTGTGTGTGTGCATGTGTGTGAGTGCACTGGCTCTGTTCTTGAAGGAGTTAAGAAGCAGCACCAAGGTACACTGGTGCATGAACACATGTGTGCATGCATTTATGCACACATAAGCACATGTGCATGCATGTGAGCACCTATGTACCTATGCATGCATATGTATGGCATGTGAACAGGTTGGTATGGGCATGTGTGTGGGGTGCAGGGCATTGAATAGGGATTCCACTGCAGACAGCTGCGGTAGGAGCGGATGGGATCATACACAAGGATATTTATTTCTTACAGTATCACTCATGGCCGGCAAAAGGAAGGATGGGGGCTCTGGCAGCCTTAAGAAGGCACCGGTTCTGCCAAATGGATCTGAGACAAGGTCAGACTCGGTGGATGGAGAAGTGCACAGCCGGGGGCTTGTGCTGGAAGCAGGAGTGATGAAAATACCACGTTCTGAACCCCTGCTGAGTGCCTGACAGGCAGGCCTTGTACCTGGGATGCTGGGAGTGTGTCTGGCAGACTAGTGATTTGAGCCGCTTTAACCCCCTCCCTGCCTGCTCTCATCCATCCTCCATTCCAGCTTTGCCTTATGCTGCACAAGAGAAAGACAAGCTCCAGATGTGAGTCATGGGCAGAGATAAACATGTCAGGATTAATACATTCTTTCTGTCTGATAAACTGTCAATGATTAAAAACAGGTGATAATACTCAGTGTGGGGAAAGGTGTTGGGATGGCAATTTCAAGGCATTTTTTTTAGATGGCAAGTTTTGGCATTTATAGAACAAAAGTTTCAAAAATGTTTATACCCTTTGGCTCTGTAATTCCAACTTCTAAAAATCATGTACAGAGATATTCATCACAGCTTTATAGTGACGAGAAGCTAGAAACTACTTCAACAGCCAATAATCCAGATCAGGGTAATAAATTATGGTTCATGCACTTATGAAATTATGGTCTCAAAGCAGCTAATATATTTTTAAATCAAACAAGGTTAAAACAACAGTATGTTCAGCGTGATTCTAATTTTTAAAAAATTATCTATACACAGATGAATATAGGGGGAAAAGCCCAGATGATTGTACTTACATTGAAATGAAAGAGACAATGTATTTATATATACACACACGTATGTAAAAATCCCAGGTGGGGGGGGCCACCTTTCAGACTTGTACCAATGATTGCTTCTGGGGACAAAGGAAAGTTGGAAAGTGTATCCTTTACTCTCTCTTTCTCTCTTTTGAATTTTCACAATCTGATTGTATTGCTGCAGGGTAGCATAGCTGAGTGGTTAAGAGTAAGCTTGGGGCCCAGGTTTCCTGGGTTCAGATCCTCACTCTATTCCTTCCCAGCTGTGTGACCCCAGGCAAGTTACTTAACCTCTCTGTGCTTCAGTTTCCACAACTGTAGAAGAGAGATAAAAACTCTCTAGTACCTACCTCATAGGGGAGTTATGATAAATTAAACAATATACATAAAGCAGTGAGGACACTATGTGACCAGCACAACAGTAAGTTCTTAAACAGACAAAAAAAATTATTATTTAATGTTATTTGAAGTTTGTATTCTCAATGGGGTAAGATCACCCACAAGGGGCAAAAATTGTTTCTTGGGGACGGGATGAAAATCTTGGATATTACAATGGTTTGTGGCCCTCCTCAGGGCCACAGAATATAAACAGATACACAGGGCATCCTTGACATTAAATTTTCAAGTATTCCAAAAAGAATGTCTAAAAAGACTTCTCAGGGAGGGCAAGGTGGGAGAAAAGGTTGAGAAACACTATTGAATGTATCATACTAAGTTTCACAACACTCGAATTATATATGATGATGTTTATAGTTATTTTCTCTGTGTGATGGGATTAACAATGATTTTCGTTTTCTTTTTGTTACTGGGAGAATAAGAATTAGAAAACAGAAATATCTATGTGTTGCTTTCATAAAATAGTTTTGGTTTTTTGAGTTCATGGCAGGGTTACGTGTGCAACGGTAGCATAAACTTGTTCTTCAAGTTCAGCCCTCTCTTTGGGGACCATGACCTTGATGGGTCTATAGGGTCTGTAGAAACCCAGCTTCCAGCGGGGCAGCTGGTCAGCTGTTTGTCCTGTTCCTGACTTGTTGACCCTGGACAGCGCCCAAGCTATATTTAGCATGGTGTTCTTTTCCTTTCAAAAATATGGAAAGAAGCTAATTTTATGCTTACAGGATTTGGATCACACAGCTTCCAGTATGTCCCTAAAACACAGTAGGCTTGGTGGGCAGTCTGGGGTCCTGGCTTGGCCAAACTCAACCTCTAGACCCTGGGGTTGGCCCCATCACTGCTCATGTCTGAGGAAGCCCCAAGGGAGACATGAATGATTCTATATCTGAGTTTTTAAAGAAAAATTATTAACCAGTTAGAGACGTACCTACCTGTTGTTACTTGAGGAGACTCAGGGCAGGCCTGAAGGCAACTCTTCATGCTAGAGTCTTGAGTTAAAGATCCACCTATAAAAACCACAGAGATGCAGCTTTCTAAGTAAGCTGTGAGCATTGCAATTGGAGTTACATGTTGGGGAAGCATGTGTTTTCTTTTTTTTTGGGTGGGGGGAAAGGGCAGGGGTTAGGGTAGGTGTCTATGCAAGACAAGTGGTATCAAAAGAAGCCAGAATTCTGTACAGAAAATATGAGTTGCAGAAGGATGACAACATGGTAGCGAACATTTGTCAAACTCTTTCATGGTATTACCCATCTTAGACATGTGCTCCGAACAGTATCAGAGGAGACACTCTCAGGTCATCTTATAAGGAATGTATACACCTTGACACCAAAACTAGAAAAGGACAAGGCAGGAGAGGAAAATGACAGGCAAGTCTGACCCACCAGCCTAAACAAAAATCAGCAAATGGAATCCTTCCTTCCCTCCTTCCCTCCTTCCTCCTTCCTTCCTTCTTCCTTCCTTCCTTCCTTCCTTTTTTCCTTTCTTTCTTTTTCTTTCTTCCTTTCTTTCAGTCTCACTCTTTTGCCCAGGCTGGAGTGCAGTGGCGCGATCTCAGCTCACTGCAACCTCCGCCTCCTGGGTTCATGCAATTCTCCTGCCGTAGCCTCCCGAGTAGCTGGGACTACAGGCACACACCCCCACGCCTGGCTAATTTTTGTATTTTTAGTAGAGACGGGGTTTCACCATGTTGGCCACGCTGGTCTTGAACTCCTGACCTCAGGAGATCCGCTTGCCTCGGCCTCCCAAAGTGCTGGGATTATGGGCGTGAGCACCCAGCCCAACCATATTTTTAAAAAAGATAACACATCATAATCAAGTTGGGTTGATCTCAAGAATGCAGGGTTTGGTTCAACATTAGAAATTGGTCCCAGGAGAAAGGATAAACCACAACAGTGTCACTCTGGGGACTATTACGTACGCAGCAGTGAAGGTGAGTAAACTGCAGCTGCGTGCACCAGTGAGGATGATCCTGACAAACATAATGTTGGATAGAAAAGCGAACTGCAGAAGAATACACACTGCAGAAGTCCACTTAAATGAAGTTCAAAACCAGGCAAAACCAAACGATTATTGTTCTATTTTTGTAGTATTAGGAAGAAATGTGAAAACTATAAACTAAAATTCAGGACAAATTCAGACTACGTTCTGGCCAGGCACAGTAGCTCACACCTGTAATGCCAGCACTTTGGGAGGCCAAGGTGGGAGGATCACTTGAGCTTAGGAGTTCGAGACTAGCCTGGGCACTAGAGTGAGACCCTGTCTCTACAAAAAAATAATAATAATAATAAAAATTAGCCCAGTGTGTGGCTCACACCTGTAGTCCCAGCTACTTGGGAGTCTGAGGTGGGAGGATCTGCTTGAACCTAGGAGGTCAAGGCTGCACTGAGCCTTGAGCACGCCACTGCACTATAGCCTGGGCGGCAGAATGACACCCTGTCTCAAACAAACACACAAACACACACACTACCTCCTGGAGAAATGAAGAGTGAAGAATGGTACTGGAGAGGGGAACAGTAAAGGGGACACGAGCGTTTTATTATACCATTCCTTACAATTCACATATATCTTATATATACTCTTTGGAATGACTGAAATAGTTTGTAACAAGAATGTCCAAAAGCCCATCAATGTGTACGTATTACTCTTAGCATAAAATCCAAACTCCTCAGCCATGACCCTCAAGCCCCACCAGCCTGGATGAGGCTCCTGTCTTGCTGTCCCAGCTCATATCTCTTGCTCATCAGCCGTCGGTGGTTTCCTTTCTGCTCCTCAGTGGCACCAACTACTTCCTACCACAGGGCCTTGGCACTTGCTATACCTGCTGCTTGAAAACACCCTTCCGCCTATCTCTCTTATCTGGCTACTTATTTATTTATTTCTGTATTTAAAATTTTTAAAAAAATTATTTTTGGAGACAGGGTCTTTCTTTGTCACCCATAGCTCACTGCAGCCTTGAACTCCTGGGCTCAAGTGATCCTCCCGCCTCAGCCTCCCAAGTACCTGGGATTACAGGTGCACACCATCACACCCAGCTATGTTTTCATTTTTAATCTTTTTGTAGAGATGGGGTCTTGCTGTGTTGCCCAGGCTGGTCTTGAACTCCTGGCCTCAAGCGATCCTCCTGCTTCGGCCTTACCAAAGTGCTGGGATTGCAGGCATAAGCCACCATGCCTGGCTATCTGGCTACTTTTTAGTAGGGACCTCTGTCTCTCAGCTCAAATGCCACCTCCTCAGTGAGCACCTCTCTGACCACTCAGTGGAAACGCCCCCTCCCTCACACAAATGCCCCCTCCCTCAGGGGACCCAAGTATAGCTTGGTTCCTTGCCTTTCCTTCCCATGGGTGATGATAATGCATTGCAGTCAGTAATAATCTCATTTTTGCTTTCTTGTTGGCTCCCTGTCTCCCCTACTGGAGTATGAACTCCCTGAAACACGCTTCTTGTCTGTCTTGTTCATTGCCTGCTCCAGTCCCCAGCACCGCATGCCAGGAACTTAACAGGTACTTGGTAGATATTTATAGAACAAACAAATGAATATCCGGCAAGTTTAAAAGTTTAACCAGTGTCTCATATCAATGAGGGGAAAATCCCAGTCCAAGTCTGAAGGGGAGAGGATTAATCAAAGCTAACTTGCAGGAAGATCTGGATACCCAAATCCTGTATCCGTATGCAAATCATCTGCTGGCAACATGAGAAAAATATGCAGAATAAATGCGATTTCCACTGTGACCTGAGAAAGTGACTGTATCAGTATTCCTGGGTGGGGCTGGAGGTTTCAGTGGTTGCTTGGCCTTTGCAGGTGGAAGTCAGCAGGGGAACATGGAAGCCTTTAGCTTTACCGCTCCACGCTGGGCGGAGGCTCTTTCCACTCCTGTGCACACCCTTGGCCAACCAGAGCTGGCAGGGAGGGGCCGTGCGCTGGGTGTGGAGGAGTGGGGGCCGGGGAGGTAGACCCAGCTCCAGACATCAGAGTAGCTGAGACCTGAGTGGGGCCATCACAGCCAGGCACATCTGGATTGAGTCTCCATGAACTTGAACATGAAGACAACGGCTGAAATAAGATGGGACAATGGAAGGCAGTGCTGCCCCGGCCGAAACGGGGTAAAGGGCCCAAGCATTGATGGCTGGGCCTTCCGCTGCCTCTTCTCGCTGAATTGCAGAAAAACTCTCCAGGACACGGTTTAGAAACCGGGAATTGGATCTAGACCCTCACGCGGGCCACTGAGCTCTGTGCTACGGCCCCGGAAGGTGCAGTTGCAGAAGAGCCCCACCCAGTTGGCTTTAGTGGGAGGAGGGCCTGCCAGTCGGAGGCGGCTGGCAGTGCTACCAACCCCTGCGACAAAGGAGCTCCTTGAGCATTCTCCCTGCACCGACCTCTTCCTGCCAAGCTGCATAATTGGAAAAGGGATCCCCCGTTCCACCGGGCTGTGCTACATTCACATCACAAAGGACGGATTCAGAGGGGCTCTCTCGGCCAAGTTTCAGCCCACAATCACTTTTGTCACAATTTCCAGTCCCAGACAGTGGGGTTAGGAAGAAAGGCGCTGAGCCCCTGCTCCTGTCCTGCCTGGGAGGGAGTTTCAGGCCACCTCCCCACGGACCAAGGTCAAAGGGTGTCAGGTTCCTGTTTCAACAGAGCACCAGGGATCTTTTAGACTGTGCACTCAGGAAAGACAAAAAGCAATGTGCAAATGAGGCATAAAGGCAGGGGAGCAGGGAGGAGGGCTGCCCAGCTGGAGAGAGCTGATGGGAAAAAGAAGAAAGGATGTTAAGTGATACACAAGGCAGGGTAAGAAGCATAATGGTAACAAGAATGGCAGTCCCCGCAGTAGCTATCACGAAGTCAGCAGCAGCTGATACTCAGCATGAATCAGGTGCATTCCTAAACTCACCCGATCCTCACCGCCACCCATCAAGGAATGATCCCGCCCCACCATCTCAGAGTCCTGGACAGGGTAAGTAATTTGCCCTGGGCCACACAGCCGGTAAGCGGCACCGACTCATAATCAAATCCAGCTGACTGTGAAGTCCACCTGTGCCTGCACTGTGCGGGTTCCCACGAAGCTGAGTCCCTGGGGGCCGCTTTCTGGGCAAGGCACCCAGGTTCCCAGAGGTGTCTCAGGACAAAAGTGCAAGGGGGTGACAAGTAAATGTTTCCCTCCCTCCTCCTCCTTCCTTCCTTCCTTCCTTCCTTCCTTCCTTCCTTCCTTCCTTCCTTCCTTCCTTCTCTCCTTCCTTCCTTCCTTCCTTCCTTCCCTCCTTCCTCACCGGAGGTGTTTCAGGACAAAAGTGTGAGGGGTTGACAGGTACATGTTCCCTTCCCTCCTCTCCCCTCCCCTCCTCTTCCCTTTCTTCTCTCTCTTTTTCTTTTTTTGACAGGGTCTCACTTTGTCATCCAGGCTGCAGTGGCATGATCATAGCTCACTGCACCCTTGACCTCCCAGGCTTAAGCAATCCTCCCACCTTGGCCCCCAAGGAGCTGGGACTACAGGCACACACCACCATGTCCAGCTAATTTTTGTGTCTTTTGCAGAGAAAGGGTCTCGCTCTGTTGCCCAGGCTGTTCTCGATTTCCTGGGCTCAAGCGATCTGCCTGCCTCAGCCTCCCAAAGTGCTGGGATTACCAGGCGTGAGTCACTGGACCTGAACATTTCTTTTAAAATGACTTGTTGAAGATTTGATGTAAACAATTCCCGGTCCCCTACTGGATGCCAGGGGCTTCGGGGGATACAGAGATGTGTGAGACGGACTTCTATAATCCAGCAGGAAGAGAGGCGATTCTTCCTAACAGAAGGGAAGTCAGTGTTGAAGAGTCAATGCGTGTTGAATGCCCATTCTGTGCTAGGCCCTCTGTGGAGCTCTTTACGTGCATCATCATTTAATAGTTATTGGTTCTATTTTATAGATAAGGACACAGGTTCCAAGAGGGAAAGTAATTTATCTAAGGTCACCCAGTGAGTACAAGGCAGGGATAGCGTACGCCTGATTCTAAAACCCATGCTTTTAAACACCAAGTAGCACTGCCAAAATGGAGCATGTCTGAAGAGCTTCCAAAAAGAGTGACAGATTGAATTTGAGGAGGGCAGGGAGAAGGAAGATACACATGCAGCTCTGCAGGGCTTTGAGGCCTCTGTGGCCTCCTGTGGGTGGAATTCGGGGGTCAGAGAATGGGGTATTCCAGGGTGAGGGCTCAGCCTTAGTAATCCCACAGCGATGGGAACGTGGGCATCTTCTAGAATATGTCACGGCTTGCAGAGAAAAGAGGCAGCTTCCCTCCCCGACTCCAAACACGAGACGTTGGTGAATTGTATAAAACCTGACATCACCAGGGTCCTTGCTCATCCAGGTAAGTGTTGGAGAAATTAAGGAAGACAAGTTCATCCTGAAGACTCCAGGTACCAGAAGCAGAAGCAGCGAGTTCATGAACCACATGTCTTTTCTTGAGGAGCTTGACGTAGTGTCTTTCTTCTAAGCAGGTGGCTCATGTCCAGCCTTATTTAGAAGGCTGGCACGGGGGACCCAGTCACGTGAATTCAGTATTTCTTGGGAAATGTGACATCTCACATTTCAGAGTCTTCCTCTGCCAGGATAGCACTGAGGGATCCAGATCTCCTGTCCCCATCAGCCCAGTGTGAACCTGATACCTCGAACCTTCTCCAGGCTCCGGCCATCGGTGTCTCTGGGGATAACATCAGCAGCCCCCTGACCCTGGCAAACAAGGCTAAGCACAGGCTCTGACCACCAGCCAGACCCCCAGTACTCTAGTCCCCCAATCCCCAGCACATAGTTAGGGCACTGACACACCAGGCCCTTTATACAATTTAGCTCATTTATCTCACCCAACAATCATGTAAGGGAGGTACTGTTATCCCCACGTCTGTCCATTTTATCAAGGAATACGCTGAGGCACAGAGGTGGAGAAACTTGCCCAAAGTCTCAGCTTAGTAAGTGGCAGCCCTGTCCACAAAGCCCCCTTGTTTAGGCCGTCCTCACACACGGAGCAGCAGAAAAGCCAGCCTTTCACCAAGGCAGGGCAGAGTTCCCATCAATGAGGTCTCGCTCTCATCCAGGCTGGAGTGCAGTGGCGTGATCTTGGCTCGCTGCAGCATCTGCCTTCCGGGTTCAAGTGATTCTTCTGCCTCAGCCTCCCAAGTAGCTGGGATTACAAACGTGCGCCACCACACCCGGCTAATTTTTGTATTTTTAGTAGAGACGGGGTTTCACCATGTTGGCCAGGCTGGTCTTGAACTCCCGACCTCAGGTGATCCATCCGCCTCGGCCTCCCAAAGTGTTGAGATTACAGGCATGAGTCACCACACCCAGCCTAGGCGGACAACTTTGGAGGCTTAGCCCTGGAATCTGAAGAAGGGGAGGATTGGGGGCCTGGAAGAGAAGCTGGAGCCTGTCCCACGTTGCTGCCTGTGGTCAGTGTTCCTGGCAGCCACCCAGGCTCGTGTGAACCTCGGCGCCATCTGGACCCTGCATTTGTCCTTGTGTGACAGGTAGTTCTGGACACTGACTGGATTCATTTGGTTTGTCTTCCCCAAGAGGCATTTTGCAGCAAAAAAGTAGAGAAGGGCAGAGATGAGAATTTATCAAATCAGGGACTGCAGAGGGTGCTGGTGAGTATACATTCCACCTGTCATGCCGTAGGACTGGGAGCCTGGGCTCCAGATCAGAGGCTGGGTTTGTATCTCAGTTCTGTAACTTAGTAATTACCTAGACAAGACAATTCTTAGGGCTCTCAGTCTCAGCTCTGTCATCTGTACAAAGTGAATTTTACTGGGATCTACCTCCCTGGGTTTATAAGTGACGACCTCAGAGTTTTGATTACGGGTGTTTATTCATTTACCCAACACAGTATTGACTGAACACCTACTATGGACCAAGGCCCGATCTAAGCACTGAGGATATAGAAACAATCAAAACAGACAGAAGGCCTTGTCCCCATAGAGCTCACATTAGAGCCTGTGGTATGGTAGAAGGTAATACAAGCTAGAAGAAAATAACAGAGCTGTGGGTAGTGATTTTAAAAACAGGCTGGGCGTGGTGGCTCATGCCTGTAATCCCAGCACCTTGGGAAGCCGAGGTGGGTGGATCATGAGGTCAGGAGTTCCAGACCAGCCTGACCAACATGGTGAAACCTTGTCTCTACTTAAAAAAAAAAAAAAAAAAAAATACAAAAATGAGCTGGGTGTGGTGGTGCATGCCTGTAATCCCAGCTACTCAGGAGGCTGAGGCAGGAGAATCGCTTGAACCAGGAAGGCGGAGGTTGCAAGTGAGCCAAGATCACGCCACTGCACTCCAGCCTAGGTGTCAGAGGAAGACTCCGTCTCAAAACAAAACAAAACAAAACAAAAAAAAACCAAAACGGTGGCCAGGTACACAGTCACCAAGAAAATGATATCTGAGCAGAGATTTGAAGGATGTGAGGGAGGAATCACGTGAATACCTGGGGAAGAACATTCCAGGCAGAGGAAGGAACCACAGAGCCAAGGCTCTAAGTCAGGAGCCTGCCCAGCAGTTTCCAGGGACCACAAAGCTGAAGAATCCATGAGTGAATACATTGAGGGCCTTGACCCAATGCCCTGCAGACAGTAGCTGCTCTAATTGTGCCAGAAATCTTTTACAGGCCTGTGGAGGCAGATGGGCGTCCATTCATCTTTACAGAGGCCCAGAAGGGGTCTGAGACTAACTCAAGGCCATTCAAGTGGGGGGCAGAGAAGAAGCGGGGTCCTGCTCAGGGTTCTTTGCTGCTCACCACCCTGTGTTTCTTGGAATTTGGGAACAGGCATATGGGAGGCTGAATCATGGTCTTCAAAGATATCCAGGTCCTAATCAAAATTTGTAACTTTTAGCCTATATGGAAAAAGTGCCTTTTGGGGCATGATTAAGAATCTTGAGATGGGAGATTACGTTGGATCATTCAGGTGGGCCCAATTTAATGAGTAGTATCCTTATAGGAGGGAAGCGGAAAGGCCAAAGGAGGAAGCAGGAGATGGAATCATGGAAGCAGGAGGATGTGAGGAGAGAGTCACGAGTCCAGGGATGCAGGTGCCTCCAGGAGCTGGAAAAGGCAAGGAGGCACATGCTCTCCTAGAGCCTCTGGAGGAACCAGCCCTGCCCACGTTGTGACGTTAGCCCATGAAACTGAGGTTGGACTTCTGGCCTCTAGAACACATTTATTGCAAGACAATAAATGTGTGTTGTTTTCAGCCATGAAGTTTGGGGTACTTTGTTATGGCAGACCCAGGACACTTCTGCAGGTGCCGTTCCCGTTCACACCTGTGTATGGCGCCTGCCGGCACAGCCTGTTTACCTACCCGATAGTTGATTCGATTAGGCACCGTTTCTCAATCCTGATAAAACCAATCGCTTGGTGAATTAGGCGCCCTTTCCTCGTGTGGCCAGGTTGGAGGGAGGCTCAGCTTGGCGGTGCTCCTCTACCAAGTTTACATTTTAACCCAGGATTCTGCTAACGAGCCAGGTTTACACTTGTTCTAACGTTGCTGGGACCAAAAAAACCTGATAAAGGTATTCTCATGCTTGAGTCAGCAGGCACCCCACTTCCTGGGGGCTCAACACTGCACTTACAAAGTGCTGACGACAGGACAAGACTGACGTTTATTTTAAGTACTCATTATATGAGGGCTTTTAAGCCAAGACTCGCGGTACGTGGAGCAGCCAGCCAGCCAGCCAGCCCTCTGCAGGCCCGTGAGTCCTGCGGAAGCAAGCCCTCGGTGTTCCCAGACTTTTCTGAGACCAGCTCTGATTCTGGAGATTAGGACACCGTTTGAGAAAGTTTGTCCTGCCCATATCTGGACATTTTCTTTTTTAGCCGCAGCAACGCTATCGCTATAGAAGAGGTTCCCAAACCTGCTGCCAAGAGCGCTTTTGGTATTGAGCCCAGCTCGTCCCCCTCCCCTCGCCATTCCCCGTTCCCTCGTCTCCACTTTATACCTGACTTTCCTACTTGAAGCATGTTAGCCAGAGCTGCTTTCTCGAGTCCTGGGTTTCCTTCCTGCCTCCGATTTTTAGGAAGTCACTTGTCACACTTGATTCTTTTTCCACCTGTTACATTTTGGAATTGTGGCATCTACAGTGAACATTCTCCTAAGCTCCTATAAAGTGCCAGTGCTGGGTGCCTTTCATGTCTTTACTATTACTTATTACTTATTATTACTATTAATTTTATATATTCTATTTTGTTTATTTTATTTATACAATTTTAATATTCATTATATATTTACTTTTCTTTTCTCTTTTTTTTTTTTTTGAGACGGAGTCTCGCTCTGTCACCCAGGCTGGAGTGCAGTGGCCGGATCTCAGCTCACTGCAAGCTCCGCCTCCCGGGTTTAGCCATTCTCCTACCTCAGCCTCCTGAGTAGCTGGGACTACAGGCGCCCACCACCTCCCCCGGCTAGTTTTTTGTATTTTTTAGTAGAGACGGGGTTTCACCGTGTTAGCCAGGATAGTCTCGATCTCCTGACCTTGTGATTCACCCATCTTGGCCTCCCAAAGTGCTGGGATTACAGGTTTGAGCCACCGCGCCCGGCCTATATTTACTCTTCTTAACAGTCTATTACGAATATTATTTACTTAATATAATCATAGTCTAATTTCTCAGTTATTTATTATCATGCTTAAACTTCCCAAGCTGATGAAAAGGTTTCTAGAATAAGCCCCATTTCACAGAAGAGGAGCCTGTAGTTAGGGAAGTTAAGAAACTTGCTCAAAGTCACATGGTGAATGCTGCAGCAAAGATTCAAACTAGACACGCCTCACTCCGAGCGATTTGTTTTATCAGGATGAAGGAACTGTGCCTGATCAAACCAACTATTGGGTAAGTACACAGCCTGTGTGCCGGCAGGTGCCATATACACGTATGAGGCGCCTGTGGCACACCCCACTGCCCAGCGCCTCCCAGGCCTCCCACTCCCATGAGGAGACCCTCCTCGGGCTGCGGCTGCCAGAAACTCCCTAGGTCAATTTCAGTCTCTGTGGTCAGGAGATACAATTCCCTGTTTTTCTTAGTGTGGTTTTCCCTTCATAAGAACCAGCTTCCCCAGTGTGAGTCATTCAGTCCCCTGCAACTCTGATACTCATCTGGATGTGTTGTAAATAATTGACGCTGAGATGTTTAATCATAAAACTGGAATTAAGGTTAAAAGGTGGCACCTTGCAGGGAAGGGGACGGGAGGAGAAATTAAGAGTTTGCATTAGTTTGCTAGGGCTGATATTACCAGCACCACAGACAGGGTGGCTGAAACAAGAGAAATCTATAGGCTGCAAGTCCAAGATCAAGGTAGTCCCTTCTGAGCAGGGTTGGTCCCTTCTGAGGCCTCTCTCTGTGGCCTGTCGACAGCCACCTGTTCCCTGTGTCCTCATGTGGTTGTCCCTTTGTGTGTGTCTGTCTTAATCTCTTTTTTTTTTGAGACAGAGTCTCACTCTGTTGCCCAGGCTGGAGTACAGTGGCATGATCATGGTTCACTGCAGTCTCAATATCCAGGCTCAAGCAATCCTCCTACCTTAGCCTCCTGAGTAGCTGGGGACTATAGGTGCATGCCACCAAGCCTGGCTAATATGTAATATATTTATATATATAATATATTTTATATATAATATATATTTAAAATATATAATATATTTAAAATATATAATATATATCACATATAATATATTACATAATATATCACATATAATATGTTATATATCACATATAATATATATTATATATCACATATAATACATATTATATATCACATATAATATATTATATATCATATATAATATATTATATATCACATATATTTAAAATATATAATATATATTATATAATTTTTTTTTGGTAAAGATGGAACCTCCCAGTATGGCCCAGGCTGGTCTTGAAATCCTGGGCTCAAGTGATCCTCTTCTTAGAAGGACACGAGTGATATTGGATTAGGACCCACTCATATGACTTTACTTCATCTTAATCCCCTATGTGAAGGCCTTATCTCCAAATGCAATCCCATTCTGAGTACTGGGGACAGGGGGCTTCAACATAGGAATTTGGAGGGGATGCAATCCAGCCCACGTTTGCTTCGCTTAGCCCCTCTTTCCCACTGGGTAATAAAAAATATCTACCCTGGACCGAGCGCTCACAACCTCCATGGTATTGCTAATGTGTTTCACACATCATCTCCCAGCACCCCGGGAAGGAAGTGCTATGGTCCCCACTTCACAGAGAAGTGTCAGGGCTCATCAGCATACAGGAGGGAGCTAAATCCCACCTCTGCCCAGCGGCAGCTAGGATATACTACTGGTCTCATAGGGTTGAGGGGTGAGTGTGTTATCCACGTGTAGGGTTATCCAGCGGAGTGGTTGGCTGGCTGTGTGCAGATACCACAGGGAAAGGTACATCATTTCATAGCTGGAGGGCCCTGGTGACAGAGAAACATGGAGATTGGGGAGATGGGGGACTACGGCAGCTGAAGGCAAGCACCCTGGCATGCATCTGCTTCACTAGCTGCTCCTTACGCTCCTCAGAGCCTCAGTTTCCTCATCTGTGTTTGGTGCTGCCAAGACATGATGCTTCAGGGAAAAGCTGGCGCTATGATTCCCCCGACCCGTGGCTAGCCCACCCTCACAACCATCTGCTCTCCTGGGTTTTAAAATCTCTGTGAACTGGCTGAGCGCGGTAGCTCACGCCTGTAATCCCAGCACTTTGGGAGGGCGAGGTGGGTGGATCACCTGAAAGTCAGGAGTTCGAGACCAGCCTGGCTAACATGGTGAAACCCCGTCTCTACTTAAAATATAAAAAATTAGTCGGGCGTGGTGGCGGGCACCTGCAATCCCAGCTACTCAGGAGGCTGAGGCAGGAAAATCGCTTGAACCCAGGAGGTGGAGGTTAAAGTGAGCAGAGATTATGCCACTGCACTCCAGCCTGGGTGACAAGAATGAAACTTTGTCTCAAAAAAAAAAAAGAAAAAAGAAAAAGTCTCCTTGAACTAAACAAAGACACAATGGACTTTCTTCGCAGCCAGCATGCCATTCAGAAGTAGTCTCATTGTCTAGAGAGAAGCCCTGGTGAAACTTACATGCTGGAAACCGGTTTCACAGGGCTCATTGGACACATCTTGGGTGTTTTTCCCCCCTGCCACATCAGTCTGTAAACACCAAGCAGGTCCCAGCTAAGGGCCGGAAATGGGGCTGACCTTCTAAGGAATGCACCAGAGAGACCTGGCCAAGGTGAGATGTCACCTGTCCAGTACAGCTCACCTCCAGGCACAGTGAGCTTGCTGCTCTTTCCTCCTTCTCCCTGTGCTGGAGGGAGAGAAAGAAAAGACAGCGTGCTGATTCACTGGTCTGACGTTTCCATTTGGTCAGCAGGGTGGTTTACTTTTGCCGATTGACCAGGTGGGGTGGCTCATGCCTGCGATCCCAGCACTTTGGGAGGCCGAGGTAGGCGGATCACTTGAGGTCAGGAGTTCAAGACCAGCCTGGTCAACATGGTGAAACCCCATCTCTACTAAAAATACAAAAATTAGCCAGGCGTGGTGGCGGGCACCTGTAGTCCCAGCTACTCAGGAGGCTGAGGCACCAAGAATCGCTTGAACCTGGGAGGCAAAGGTTGTAGTGAGCTGAGATCATGCTACTGCACTCCAGCCTGGGCAACACAGTGAGACTCTGTTTCAAAAAATAATGATAATATTAATTTTGCCTATTTGTGGTTCCCAATATCCATGTTCCCCTTCCTCCATAGTAAGCTGATGCTTGGCTGTCCATGACTTCCTAGAATAAAGATAGCAGTACCCAGCCTGTTAGGCAGTTCACTAGCTGTTGCATGTGACTAAGTTCTGGCCAATGGGATATAAGCAGAGTGTGTAAAGCAGGTGGGGCACATTCAGGAAGGGAAGCATTCTTAAATGAAGAGACATGTCTCCCCCTGCTTCCTGCTTCCTATTGGTTCTAGTGCAGATGTGATGGTTGGAGCTCAAGCAGCCATACTGGGGTGTGAGGTAGAGAATGGCAGAGCAACAAGACAGAAGGAGCCTAGGTCCCTGAGGATCACGGTGCTGCCTTTTCAGCCTTGGACTGCTGACCTCTGGACTCTGTTTACATAAGAGAAAAATAAGGTCTATCTTATTGAATCTGATTTTTCTTTTTTTTTTTTTTTTGTCATGTATAGCCAAAGCTAAGCCCGCCCACACAGGCTGAGAGGCCCACAGTTGTGGGAGGAAAGGTGGCAGCTGGCTGGATGCAGATACCACAAGGAAAGGGACATCGTTTCAGAGCTGGAGGGCCCTGGTGACAGAGACACGCCTATATCAGGGAAGTGGAGGGCTATGGCAGCTGAAGGCAAGGACCGTGGTGTGCATCTGCTTCACTAGCTGCTCCTTCCACCCCTGAGAGCCTCGGTTTCCTCATCTGTAAAATGGCAATAATGATGCCATCCTGACGAGAGAGTACACAGAGCCTGTGCCTGTAATCGGAGCACTGGTCACAACGCACGCTTGGCAGGAATGAGGTGAGTGATTCATTACGGGGCTTTTGGAGATTGCCTCAGCCAGAAGCAGGGTAAGAAGATGGCCTGGGTAAAGATGCAGAGAAGGCTTCTTCAGTCAGCAAAGCCAGGAAGCCCTGAAAACACAGGGTCCGAAGGTCACAGGAGGAGGTGTCCAACACGGCGGGGCACCAGTCAGTCTCAAGCACCCCAGAGAAGTTGAGAGGATGCTGTTGTGTTACCTGCCCAGCAGCCACTCCCATCCTGCTGGGAACAGTGCCTGGTTTTCCTTCTTTAGGGCCCTCCCCATTCTCAGTCCATACGGTCGACCTTGATTCTGACTCAAGGTTGCAGGCACATGCCCAGGCCTGGTCAATCAGGGCGTTCCCACACTCTGGGGCACAGCGATAATTTCAAGATGGACACGTAACCCACGCTGGGCCCGTGAGTTTCAAATTTCAACTTTCCCTGGAATTGCTGAGAAAGAGACACTCCTCCATTGCACATGCAGCTCAGAGTGGCGGGCAGAGAAAGCCTGCCTGGGAATGAATAAACACTCCCAAATGACAGGAGTGAGTCCTCATGATGTGTCTGAAGAACAACCCCTGGCGTGCTCAGTGATAAGAGCTCACGCATTACATTGAGTTTTCTGTCCCCTGCATT